CGATGTAACAGGAAGGATTATGAAACCCTTTCTCCAAGTGCCTGCTCCAGAACTCTCCAGGGCAGGGCCTTACCCTGCAGGGCCGGAGAACGTGCCTTAGGAATGGCGAGTGGCCAAAGGCGACTGAGCTACCACCTCTGCCTGGTTCCAGCAAATGGCCTCTGGAGGTAGTCGCAGACCCTTCAGCGTCACCAGCCATGGTGATGAGGATTCCATGGGGCAGGCTGGTCCTCCTCCAAAGCAGGTCACCTCAGCCAGCTGGGGCTGTAGCTGCCAGGACAGGGCTGGGGTGGGGTGGGGTCTGGAGCAGGGCAAGGGCCCAGTGCCGTCTGAGCAGCAAATGAGGCTGTTTTCTTTTAGTCTCTCAGTGCTCTCCCCAGAGAGGAACTGTATGGCTGTGCAGCTCAAACGGCAGCTTCCAGCCTCCCCTCGAGTTCGGGATCCCAGGCGGGGGACAATGCCATGCACTCGCTGCCATCAGGCTGACTCCAGCTCATGGTGGCCTCTAGGACAGAAAAAACTGCTCTGAAACGCTGGCCTTGAGATTGGCAGCCCATCTTGCATGCCCAGGATTGGCTCAGAATTCCTCTAAACCAATGGTTCTCAACCTTCCTAATGCCTCCACCCTTTAATCCAGTTCCTCATGTTGTAGTGACCCCCCCCAGCGCCCCCTCCACACACATACTTTTTTTATTTAAGTGTGGATGGTCTTGGAATCTTTTCAATTATCAGATTCTAAAGGAGAAGGAAGAGCCCTAGTAGTATAGTGAGTTCTATGCTAGGAAACTAACTGCAACAGTAGCAGTTTGAACCCCCCAGCTGCTCCAAGGGAGAAAGATGAGGCTGTCTGCTCCTATAAAGATGTACAGCTAAAAAAAAAAAAAGATGTACAGCCTAGGAAACCCGAGGGTACAGTTCTACTTTGTCCTACAGGGCAGCTCAGAGCTGGAACTGACCTGAGGGTGGTGGGTTATGGAAGAAGGAGTTTGAGGGGCCATAACCTCCCAGTTGTCTTTCACCCCTCTCTAGGGCCCAGGCCCCATTCTTCTCCAGCTCTGCTTTCCCCACTGCACAGGGAGACGGAGCTGAGCCCTGAGCCAGCAGCTGGTCACTGAAGCCAGATGTCAGTGGGACTGTCCAAGGCCAGACAACGAGCAGGCTCCTCAGCAGCCAAGGCTTCGGTTCCCACAGAGATGAAGCCCCAGCTGCCTCAGCCCCCATCCACCAGGGAGAGGCCCGGCTCTACCAGGGCAGAGTGGGCATTTGGGAGGCTGCCAACGGGAGTGCCTCACCCTGAAACCAGAGCCCAGGGACCTAGTCCCAATTCACATAGGGATCTCCAAAGTGTGCCACGTGCCCACATGCTTAGCCTGCGTCCCCTCCCATACACTTCCCTGCATGAGCAGCTGGGACTGGCCAGTCCAAAGGATGTAGTCGTTTCAGGATGGGAGCTCTCAACTCTCAGGCCCTAACCTCTACCCACCCAAATCCTCAAAGATCATCCCCAAGGTGAGGCCCCATTTGCCACACTAAGTGCCTTCTCTAGGACGCCTTCTCTCCACTCACTAACTCAGGTCCACCCGTCTTTGCACACCACCACACAATGAAAGCCCTCCCTCCTTCCTGGGCCTGGAGTCTCTGGTGGTGCAAACTGTGAAGTGGCAGGCTGCTAAGCAGCAGGCTGTTGCTGATTCATGTCTACCCAAAGGCACTGCAGCTGGACTCTGCTTTCACCTGAGGCGGACTCAACTGCACAACACCGGCTTTGCTTTCGCGCTCCTTCTTGTTCCAGGGCCAACCAACTACTGGCTTTCCTGTCTGGGGCTGTCTCAAGGCACTTCCAAACAGAGCTTTCTAAAGACGGGGGACATGGGGGCTTCCAGCTGTCTCACTTCATGGTCCCAAGCCAGGGGCAGGGCTGGGAGGCTGAGGAGTAAGAAAACCCACAGCTTCTCTCTAGCTCCCCGAGGTCTCTGACTCTGGCTGGCAAGCCAGCCCCACCAGGAATGTGACCACAGGATGCAGAACAATGAGCCTGAGCTGGGGAGTCTGGAGACTGGCTTCTGGTGCCAGGTCTCCCCCCCACAAAGCTGTGGGGCCTGGGCGGATTGTGTCCCCTTTTTTGGACATCAGTTTCTCCAGCTGTCATCAGAAGAGGACAAAACCCAAAAGTTCTGAGTGGTTGTGAGGTTCAAGGTCCAAGGCTGTCCAGGCATCACAGGCACAGGGCGACCCAAGAGCAAAGCTCTAAGGGACATCAAGCACCATCCTCTACAGGGGGCCCTCACTAAACCCTGAAAACCAACCAAAAACAGGAGCCGGCCAGGCCAGGCCAACTCTACCTCAAAAGAGGGAGAAAGCAAGCCTAGAAAGTGCACAGAGCTGACCCAAGGACCAGTGAGGAGCAAAGCCTGGCCTGGAACCCAGGACTCTTTGCAAGCAAGTCAAGACTGCCAGCAGCCAGAACAGGCTGGCCCCCAGTCGGAGGGGGGGAGGGTGTGTTTCCCAGAAGCAGGAAGAACAGCAGCAGATGAAAGCAGACCAGGAGAACCATTTTCTACGGCTGCTTGGAGCAGGGGCCAAGTGCCCCTCAGCATGGCCACATCACAGCATGCCACATGCTGGTCATAATTACTACCCCAAGCCATCAAACACTGAACAGGGAGCCACACCCTCTATTCATGACAGCAAGAGTGTACATGACACATTCCAGAAAGTTTGCCACCAGACATGATTAAACACAAGTTTTAGTGCTTAGAGCCATAAACTCCCGATTCCAGGAGACTGGCTTAAATAAACCTGGGCGGCTCGACCAACGTCACGCCCAGCCAGCATATCACCCAGATGGAGCAAGACACTGTTTCAATCCACATGGGTGCCACAAATACCGACAGTGCCTATGCGGATGGTATTTCCGATGGCTCCCAATACGGACTGGACAGGACAGGTGCCTGCAGTCCTGGCTCTGTCTTTAGACCGGCCTGCCCTGCCCCCATACATGGTCCTCTCCGCCCCCACTACTGCAAACTTTGACACAGGCCTTGGGTGCCAGGTTCTTCCATTCTTAGTAGGGTCCTTTTGGCATCTACCCTACCCATCAGGGAAGGCTGACTGTGGAGGCCAACCTAAGGGACAGGATGTGGGCAACCAGAGCTCAGAGAGGCACCCTTCCCACCTCCAGGAAACAAAGATGAATACCTACCCCAAGGTAGGCCCCTCGGAGTCCCTTTCAACTGTCAGAACCCGCTGGCCCAGTCCCCTCGTGGCTTACAGAGCTGGGCCAGCTGCAACACGCCACCCAGCACGATGGCAGAGGGAAGACGGGCTGGCCCACACCAGGTGAGCAGCGTCAGTAGCTTCAGCTGGCCCCCAGGCCAGGGGAGGGGAGAACCCAGAGAAAAACAGGGTGGGGAGGCCTTCCCAGAAAGCCCCTGCATCATCAGGAGAAAAAAAGCCTATGCCGTCACCTGGCTCAGTCCCAGAATCTACAGCGATTTAGAAACTGGCCTGAGTAATTTGTAAGCGCCTAAGCAGCTCAGGAGCCTTGCAAAGCCCATGATGCAGAAGACCCAGCATGGGTACCTGGCATACTTCTCTCAATAGGAGAATGACCAGGAGGCTGACCAGGAGGGGCTGGGGAGAACCTCACCCAGGCCAGCATGGGACTGGGGCACCTCCAAGCCCCTGCGTATGTCTATGTACAGACCCACAGACAGGGCCCAGAAAGATCTCCCTGCACTCCCAATTCCCAGAGTCCTCATCTGTCCCAGCCCAACTCCCTGGAAAGGATTCCTGGAGAAGCATGCCACACCCTCGCTCTTTCCCCTCTGGGGTGTCTACAGGCTCTCTCTTCCTCCTCCCTCGACCTTTAAGAGAACAGCAAGAACTTCCCCCAAGGACCACTCTCGGGGACTGGAGATTAGGCCTAGTTGGGGGCTCAATGAGTTGCCCACCTTGTGGCCTCACCTGAGGTGGACACTCCCTATCTCCCAGCCACTAGGAGAACGGTTGCAATCTCTCCTGCTGCCTGCTCAACAGGGCCTGGAAGAGGCGTGCTCCATGGATGGAAGTTGCTGTTACCACATCTTGTAGAAGCTGGCAGGGACCTCTGAAAACCAGCTTTGGAAAAGACCAGAGGCCAAGAAACTGCCGAGGTGGTCTTAGCTCTTATCAGGGAAAAGGGGGTTGAGATAAGGCCAGGTGGCTTGTCAGTCCTAATCACCAGGATGCTCACCTACCTGGGACACAGGGCAGGCCCAGGGCCTTGGCCTTGTACAAGACCAGCTACTCCCCGTCAGATCAGTGTTTTGGAACGTAGACCTCATGCAAGCTAACACTGAATTCTCATAATGTGCTCAATGTCCAATACTTCCCATCGGGAAACCAGTTAGCTTCAGCCAACTTAGCCACAGGCCAGCCCAGGACCATTAACTCAATGGCCAAACACTGTCAACGGCTGCCTGGCCTGGACTGGGCCCACTATGCCCTCGGCTTCCCCATGGTTCAGAAAGCACACCAGAACACGGAGACTTGGGCAGGGCTGCCTATAGGGGCTGCCATGCTCCCTCAACATTGGTCATCTCACCACGCTGGAATGGCAGCCTCCCTCTACTGAGCAATGGTCTTGGGAGCAAGACCTGGGTCCCTGCCAGCTCTGCCTCTGCACTGAGTCCCCAGCACTGGCACAGCAGCGTCAGGCGTGCCAGCACAGGAAAGGGGTCTTCCACCACTGAGCTTTACATGGAGAGTCCCATGCTGCAGGAAGAGACCCATGTTACCCGAGGGTGGGAGTGGACAGAACTCAAGTACCCAGAGGACAGGCCAGTGTTCTGCACACTGCGTCCATCAGCACCCATGTGCAGGGGCACACGAGGGGATGCAGATGGAGAAGTGAAGGAGTAAATGACAGCCCACAGGTAGCAAGGGAGTTGTCAGCCCTCGGTTTAGGATGAATTTTCCCACACCCAATGACGGCCCAGTGCCCAGCCCCAGCCTCATACCTGGCTCCACTAGAGGTGGTGGGGGCTGGGGGCAGGTGCTGCAGGGCCAGGTGAGAGAGGCTGGAGCGGTAGAGGAGCTGGTTCCCCAGCGAGGGAGGTGTCCCGGCCCAGGGGTTGGTAGTGTTCAGCCTGGGTGCCGATCGGGCCCCAGAGAGTGAGGGCTTGTTGTATGGCGCAAAGGTCTGGTGTGCCCCAAAAACAACAGCGGTCCTGTGGGAGGGCTGGGGGACCGGGTACGCGGGGAGGTTGGTCATGGAGTGGCGGTAGCGGCCTGAGACGGGGCCAGTTCCACTGGCGTTGAGGCACTGGTGGCAAGAGCAGGCGATGCCTGTGTGGCCCAGTGGGGCGATGACGCTGGTCACTGGGTAAGGGGGTCCTGCCTGGCGCCGCACGCCACGGCAGAAGTTCGAAGTCTTGTTGGTCTGTGTGTGGGTGGCGTAGTTGACGGTGTAGTTGTAGCCCACGGGGGCCAAGTCCACCAGCTGGTTGCCCTGGGCCAGCTGCTGTTCCAAGTAATCACAGACGCTGGCTTCATAGGCTGTCCAGGAGCCATCGTCACTCAGCCATTCCCAGACGATGCCCCGGCCTGCTGCTGACTGCTGAGGGAACAGGTGCCTCCGCACAGCCCGCATGGTGCCTGGTTAAAAGGAAAGGCTACAGGTAACCGTCTGGTCTGCCAGCCCCCCAACCGAGGGTATGCAGACCAGCTTTGTGCTGCTACACAACCCGGAGGCTGGCAGTCGCTGTTGGAATTGTGGGGTGAAGGATGGAGAACTTTCTAGGGGGTCAAGAGCCTTTGCCCAAAGGAGTTGCATGGCACAGGGTTGTCAGCACTCCGAGGCAGGAGAGGGGATTGTTGGAAGCCAAGGTCATGACACAGCTGGTGTTCAGACCTGACAAGGCTTTTACAAACCTACTGCTGGAGTCACAGAACCTTGGACTTTAAAACTAGAACACTTCAAAGTGGGAAGAAAATGAAATCACCCACCATCAAGAGAAAAAAGCACACAATTTATTTTCTGATGCATTTCTGCCCATGAAGGCTAGTGTTGGAGCACAGTCAGGATTTTCCTTGCGATGCTCATGTATCAGCTGTTACAGAGGTCCCTTTCCTATGGTTATCCCCTCCTCTGATTGCTCCAGCCTTATATTCTTAATGAAGCAAACCTGAAGATGGAGGGGGGAACCCCACCTGGGCCTCACTCCTAAAAGCCTGAGCCCAAAGTTGCTTTTTACATTTACCTCCCAGTGGGGTCTCCCTCTCATTAGTCTTTGCCTCTCACCCTTTTCCTTCACAATAGCCAAAGGGACACTCTGGAACCCCAAGTCAGATGATGTCACTCTGCCCCCTATCTGCCTCAGGTAGGAAAAGCTCTGCAGGACCTGCCCCAACCCCCCCTTCCTTCAGGACATGGTCACTTCGGTCATCCTCTCCCAAAACTTTACACCCCCTCCCTCACCCCCACTCTTGCCTCCTTAGCACCCACTGTTACCCAACACAGGGGCCAAGTACATGATCTGTAGCTTAACAGGCCAGGCCTCTGAGCTGCCTATCAACGCTAGAAGCCCAACACTGCAGGCAGGGCTCTTACCTGCAGCAGACGGCTTAGGAGACTCGGGGATGCTGGTGACAGGGCTTAGAGCAGGTTCTCACCACAGCAGGATCAATGTTTGGGCTAGATCACTTATCGATCAGTGTGTGTGCGTGGGGGGAGGGGGGAGGGGTTGTTGGTGGTGGGGGGGGCAGCTGTCCCATGCACTGGCTGTTTAGCAGCTCCTCCTTGGCCTCCATCCACTAGATGCCAAGAGCACCCCTCCCACCAGGTCATGACACTAAAACAATGGCTCCACACGTTGACAAACATAGGTCGCTGAGCAGGAGGAAGGGAGTGAGAGCAACACCTCTGGATGGGCAACACCTCCACGACAGACTGCCCGGCCCCAGGCCCTGAGGTCAGCAACATAGGGCAGAAGGGAGCAGGGGCTGGGACAGCTGGTGCCCACGACCCTCAGCCCCCTCTACTGCTAAGTGGTACACCCCTTACCATGCAGGAACGCCTCCCAACCCTGTGTTTCCGGGCAGGACTTTGCTGGGATTTACTTCTGTAACCGTGCATGCCTGACTTAGCCCAAAGTCTGAAGCCGACACCGAGATGTGGTTGCTAAACTTGGGCTGTTTAGTGTTTTCCAAAGGGGGCTTTATCCCAATTGTGGGTGCTTGTACAAAAGGTTTTCATTGCCAGTGGGGTGGTGAGTAGGCCAAATAAGTTTGAGAACCTATGGACTAAAGGAAGGGTCTTACCAGTGTCCTGGCGGAACTGGGTCCAGCTGGGCAGGTCAATGATGTAAGGGGCCAGCGAGGGGTCAGCTTGGCCTAAGGGGATGCTGTGGCCCAAGCTCCCCAGCCCGAAGCGCTGGCCCTTCTGCTGGACAAACTGCTGTTCAATGTAGCTGCAAACCAGGGCGCTATAGGGGTGCCAGGTGCCCAGCTCATCCTGCCATTCCCACACGGCTACTGCCACGGGGCTGGTGTACACCTGAGCCAGGGAAGAGCTTGGGGGCATGGCCATCTTTCCTCCCCGGACGTCCTCTGCTTGCCCACGCAGCTTCAGACTACTCTGGGCTGGAGCCTCAGGTTCATTGCCCAGTGTCTCACGCAGACCTGTAAACAGAACAGACACAGGGACATGTCAATAGCCCTGCCAGAACCAGGGCTCAGCTCCAGCAATGGCGAATCAATACTTCTCATTCAGACATCAACTGAGAGAAACCAACAGTTTCCACTGTTCCATTCTGGCACCAAGCCCACATGCACAGCCCCTCTTCCTGAGTCTGACCACCAGAACTGGGCCAGAGCTCAAGTTAAAGTGCCCAGTCTTTCAGATACCCAGTTTGCTAAGACTTTAGACAGCACTTGCATGTCTGTTGGGTGAAGGGAGGGGGCTGAGTCCAAGTTTACAAAAGGTGGAGTTTCCCACCTATGGCTCAGGGTCCATAGACAGTCCTCCTCACTTCACCAATTAGTCCCTCAGGCTTGGTAATTTGCTAAAACCACCCACTGAACTCAGGGTAGTATCCAGAGGTTACTCAATATGGAGCTTGGACATCTCAGAAACAGGCTACCGTATATACTCGTGTATAAGCCGTGTTTTCCAGCACATTTTTAATGCAGCTTTTGTGGTAAAGTTAGCTGCCTTGGTTGATATTCGAGTTGGCTTATACTTGAGTATATACGGTACTTAGTATCCAATCATGTACATCCAGGAGGGTTTCCAGGGGCTGCACACCTAAGCATGACTGAGTGGATCAACCTGCCCCCCCACCCCCTCAAAAGGCTGGATCAAAACCACCCAAACGGTATCACCAAAGAGGTGGGTCTCTCTGGCCTAGCTAGACTGATCCAAGAGACTCAGGCTCCTCAGTAAACCCTCAGGTATGCTCTGGACATCTTATCAAAAGATACGTCAATCACTGAAGAAATTCCAAGGATTTAGAGGTTTACTCTCCAGATTGTATTAGAACTTCAATTTCTGAGTCTGTGGAAAGCTACGGTTTTCCAGTGGAAGCACAAAAACCCATTTGTGTGTCTCCACAGGAATTCAGCCTCCACTCAATTCCTTTTGACCATTAACAGCCTGAGAGGTTTTGCCCTCAGGCCGAGTGCATAGAGTGGATTAAGGTCACTCTATAGCTGGTTCAGGGAGAAGTGGCATAGCACTTGGGGACTTGCCATGACAGTGTTCTTAATGGAAATGGGAGTGCTAGGGTCACAGGGTCTTGAGTCACATCCTGGTTGCCCTCAATGAGGGCCCAGGACCAATCTTAGAAGCTCTTCTGTCTAACATTATGTCCATGTTCCCATTCCTGCTTCTGCGGTTCTGCCTGCAACTGACAGCTATTGATCTTCAGTCAGTCACCTTTTGGGACAGTGTCCTTTGTCCTCCCATGTCCTATTTAAGTCTGTGGTTCTCTGTGAACCCTTGAAGTCAGAACAGCCTTTGCTAATGGTTTCTTCTATCCGGATGATGTGTCTTTGTCTTGTCTTTTCCTGTGTGATACTTAACAAATCTTCTCCTTAAACTATATGGGTGATTTGGGGTCTCTTTTGTATCCTAAAACAGTAACCAAGGGCAAAGACCAATTTCTTTAAGTGCACCTTACAGTGCACCTTGCTGCAGGTAATAAAAAAATGATTTTCCACTTTCCCCCCAATACCTCCAGGATGTCATGAATCAAGTTTCTGATGCTGTCTCTATGCTCATGAAGAACTCAAGTGCCAACCACACAGCCTTCCTTCCTCTGAGGCTTTCAGTTTAGGGGCTACTCATTAGCTCGGTTTCTTTTTTCCCATTGATTTTCCTTTGACCGACCTACTTAACATGCATTTATTATACACCGTCATGAGTCACCCCAATCTTCTGTGGACTAAGACTACCCTAGTCCCTCAAACCTTTCAAAGAAAGTTTGCTTGTGAGATACATACAAGGGAGCTACAAAGCATTTGTGGAAAAATGGACTTAAAAGACACTGGATGATGGCTGGGCTGGAAGCCGGCAGCAGTGGGAATGGGAAAGGCTTTTATCACGGCAGCCCTTCCAGAGCTCCAGCAGAGAGCGAGACAACAGGGACTAACACTGACGGCAAAAACCAAATGTACTCAGCTCATTGAAGCTAATGGACTAACAAGCCTCAAGGAGGTACAGTGACTTAGACAAGGTCACACTTGCACTACCAAGTGCAGCAAATCCCGATTGAGCTGGCTCTAGCACCCATTTCCTTAGAGACAGGCTCAGCCCAAACCCTACCACAGCCTCCACTTAAACTGGGGAAGGAGGAGGGAGAAGAAGCTGCACTCCAAGCCCTCTGCATCTACGGCTGTTCCAACAAACCCAAGGAGAACCTGGGTGCCCATGGGACTCCCCCTCGAGAGTTCACACACCCCCAGTCACACTTCCCATCTGACCCTCATTTTGCAGCTGGAGGAGCCTGGGTGGCTAGTAGTAAGGCTGGGACAGCTCCTTCTACTGCACTATACCATCACGGTTTGGTGAGGAAGCCGAGGCCCCTGCCCTGGAAGACAGAGCTGGACTGGTTGCGGATGATTGCCTTTGAGTCTACCCAACTCCCAGGACCCAGGTGTGCAGTGCAGAGCTGCTCCGTGCATTTCAAGGCTGTGACCTTTCAGGAGCAAGGACAGGCCAAGGTATCTCTGGGTGCTAATTTTTTTGGCAAGCCATTGAGTGCTTCAGCTTATGCAGCACCCAGGGGCTCCTGGAAGAGTGTAGGAAGATCAGTTAGCCACCAACCCTTCTGCTTCCCCGCTGTGTCCTCTGGACAGAGTGCACTAGCTCTCCAAATTTTCATTCCCCCATGTAAAAAATGCAACTCTCAACACCGACCATGAATCCATGCGCAGGGTCCGGCATCTGCCCAGCACTGGCCCACACATTGTAAGGCACACTGACTTAGTCTTTTCCCCTAACCCAGGCACCTACCCACCCTCAGCCCTGCAGACTGGTGGCAAAGGGTAGAACTAGAATGCACACAGCATGAGCACCTGGGGGGTGTGGGTGAGCGCCAGGCCTGCATGCACTAAGGCTGCACACACCAGGGAGGCAGGCCAGCACTGAGCTGCTAATGCCTCTGACAAAGCCCTAGAGGATTAGACCTGGGATGCCCTTTGGATAGCTGGATGGCTTAGCTCAGCAACAGCAATTACAAGTCTCTATAACCACATCCAGGTACAAATCACAGAGCAGGCTTCAAAAGCCAATTACTCCTGAGCCCTTCTGCCAGGTGTCACTCATCCCCCAGCCAGTCGGGCCTCCCACATCACCTGTACACGTGGAATGTTTCAGCATGTCCACACATTGCTTGATGAACCAATAAGCAGAACTCAGAGGCAGTCCAAAAAATACAGTCAAGAACTGCAGCTGAAGCGTTCGCTGAAAGCACATCAGGTCTGTGGCCCCAGGGCACAAGGGATCCCCACATCTCCAGGGATCCTGAGATGAGGAAGCCAAGGATTGCAGCCCCACCCTGACTGGCCCCCTGATCTACACTCTGGGCATCATCGGTCCAGTCACATCTACTTTTCACACAAATAAAAGCACAACTTGAGCCAGCTGTTATGGGGTCCAGCTGCAACTTATGGGGTCAACAGACCTCTTCTCGACCACCTCAGCCATCACTCAACAGCAGTGCCCAAACTTACTTTATCCCAGATCCTGAGGCTATTCAGGGTATTTTAAATTATAAAAATGATTACAATTTGTGCATTCATAGTAGAGTATCTCAGAGGTATTATGTCAATGGAGGGCCCCTCTTGAGGTTGTATTGTATGCTTTTCTGTTCTTTGGTATATGAACCCCAGGACTGATGAACCTATAAGGGAGAGCAAGAAGAATAAGGGGTTCGGGGGGAGGGAAATACAGTGGTGGGAGGGGGTAAAAGGGAGATAATGTCAAGGAGTCCATGTAGAAAAAGAATGGTTGGCAACTGATTGTGGTAGCAATTGTACAATTCTACTTGATGTGACTGAAATATGGAATGATACTTACAAGTATTAAATCCCAATTAGTAAAACAATGATCACAAAAGGCTTGCCACTCACCGTCACGTGGGCTGAGTCGATTCCAACTCTTAACCACCCTACAGCACAGAGTAGAACTGTCCCACATTAATCTTTACATAAGTAGGTTGCTAGATTCAAACCACTGACCTTTCAACTGAGTGCTTAATCTCACTGTGCCATCAGGAGGCCTTATTAACCTGGTGGCTGACGAGTCCACTGACTCATCAAGCCCCTCTAAGACAGGGCTCCTTTGACATTAGCCTTAGGGAAATGCAAATCAAATACACGAGATACCACTCCACACCCACGAGAATGGCTACTATCAGAAAGCAGAAAACAAGAATTGCTGAGCGGACCGGAAAGAAAGTGGACGACACTCGCACTGCTGGGGGGAATGTGGAATGAGGCTACTGCTGTGGACAACAGTGTGGTGGGTCCCAATAGTTAAAAGACCCCACCTGTGGCCCAGCCATCCCACTCCTGGGTGTCTATGCAAAGCTTGAAAGTAGGGCCTTACACAGGTACTAACACACCAGTGTTCAGTGCAGTGTTACAGTAGCCAAAAAAACACACAAAAATCAAACTCACTGCTACTGAGTCAATACTGACTCATAGCAACCCTAAGAACTGCCCCTGTGAGTTTCCAAGACTGTGACTCTTCACAGAAGCAGAAAGCCCTTTCTCCTGAGGAGCAGCTGGTGGTTTCAAACTGCCAGCCTTGCGATTGCGGCCAACAGGTGGCTACAACTAAAGTGTCCATCAACATATGAATGGATAAACCAAAGCTGGGGCACAGACAATAAGGGGGCCAGAGAATGGCATGGAGTTTTATTCAGTCACAAAGAGCAGTGAAGTTCTGAGACTCCCTACCAGAGGATAAACCTGGAAAACCGTCAGTCGTGTGAAAAGAGTCCGGCACAAATGACAAATATGTGTGATCCTGAAATACCTAGAACAGGCCAGCAGACAGGGTCAGAGTTTGCTAGTGGTCAGCAGGGGGCTGGCGGGTTATTGGTGCCACTGCTTAAGCAGAGTGAGTTTCTGGATTTGGAGGGGGGTGGTGGCGGGGGCAGGAAGCAGTGGATGGA